GTGGTCTGAGAAAACAGCATCACACACTTCCAGATTAGAAACATTAAAACCATGAGCTAAGACCAGATCTAATGTGTGGCCACATTCTTGTGTTGGACCAGACACAAACTGAACAAAATGAAAAGAATCCATCAGCTGTAAAAAAATCTTTGACTAACGGTTTGTCAGCACAGCACACGTGGATATTAAAATATCCAATTATCAATATTCTGTCATATTTAGGCAGGACTCCTGCCAACAAATCTACAAAGTTAGTTAGAAAGTCCTTGTTGTATTTTGGAGCACACAGCACCCGGTGTGAAGATCCAAGCTCAAATAAGTTGAACTCAAAGCTGGAATAAAATGTTAAAGGTGTGATTTACAGAGACAGCTCTTCCTGTGCACAGTTGCTATTCCTCCTCCACGACCTGTCCTCCTGGGAGAGCTGAAGAAAGGACAGTTCAGTGGCAAGAGTTCACAAAAAGCACTGGACTCACCAGAAGTTACCCAAGTTTCATCCATCCATCCATTATCTTTACCCACTTCTTCCATTTTGGGTCACGGGGGTCGCCGGTGCCCATGTCCAGCAATCACTGTGCGAGGGGCGGGGGACACCCTGGACATGTCTCCAGTCCATCACAGGGACACATAGAGACAAACGAGACAAACAACCATTCACTCTCTCACACCTAGGGACAATTTAGAGTTACCAATCAGCCTTAATGCATCAATCTTACCAATCTTAATGCATGTTTTTAGTCTGTGGAAGGAAACCGGAGTACCCGGAGAAAACCCACGCATGCACAGAGAGAACATGCAAACTCCACCCAGAAAGGCCCCTGGACCGGGATTTGAACCAAGGACCTGCTCGCTGAGAGGCAGCAGCTCTACCAGTTGTGCCACCGTGCTGCCCTCAATTAAAGATGAATAATATAAAGTTCTAGCTTTACGGAGAGCTTTTTTATATGTTAGCAGACTATCTTTCCAAGTTAAATAAAATTCTTCAACATTAGTAGAGCGCCATTTTCTCTCCTGGTTTCTAGATGCTGCTTTAAAGTACGTAACTCAGAATTGAACCAAGGAGCGTTTCCTCTGATTGATTACTTTCTTTTTCAGTGGAGCAATTTTATCAAGTGAAGTTTGCATTGAAGTTGTAAGATGATCAACTAGATGATCTAAGTCTCTGTTCTCTGACGCATTACTCTGCAAGACAGAGGAAAACATTGATGGAAGAGATTGATTCAATTTGGTTACAGCATCTTCTGATAAGCACCTGCTGAGATGAAATTTACTCTCAGTGACTGTGTAGTCATTTAATGTAAACTCAAAG